GATAATAGTGAAACTTCATATACACAATTATTAAATGAATTTAGTGAAATAATTCGTTTGGAAATTCCAGATTTATTGCAAGCACCACATGGTGAACATATATTACATTCTGTGGGTTATGTTTATTCATCAAAATCACGTTCTTGGTTAAATAAAATGGATTCACAAGAAGGTCATATTGGTAAACGTATATTAGGTTATGGTAAACATATACAATCATCATGGAAAGATCGTGTACATGTTGTTAAAGAAACTTTTAAAACAGTTAAATGTGCTGTTCAATGGGGTCAATCAATGTCGAAATTAGCTCGAATTGCTGATGAAGAATCAAATAATGCACAAGATGATAATGATTCTCAATATCCATTTCAACATCATTCAGGTCATTTAGAATACAGTGGGTATATTCCACCAGAACCAATTGCTTCAGCTTCAGCTTTACCTCCACAATCAAATATAAATGTAACAGTACCAGTAAAAGAAAAATCACCACGTAAATCATCAGCAAAATTAATTGTACCATTAACAGATGAAGAAAAACGTAAACTTGAAGCTGATACAGCTACGAAATCAATGGAAGCACTTTGGCATGCGATTAAACTTGAAATTGAAAGTATCGAACGTGATGTTTGCGATCGAGTACTCAATGATTCATCATGTTCACGTAATATTCGTCGATATCGTTGTTTAGCTCTTTCAAAAATCGGTGAACTATGGCAAGAAGCATCATCATCATCATCTGCTTCGTCATAATCCTATTATTAGTATATTTTTGAGAATTTAAGATAAAGAACAAAATGTCTTTCTTTTGCGTTGTTTTTTTAAAGAATGATTTTCCGAGATAAAAATAAATTCTTTTTCTTATTTTTATATTCAATTCTAGATGCTTATTAAATGCAGCATCAAGCATCAACTGAATTAAATGATTTTATTGATTATTCATCGTTTAATGATTCAATAAATTTCGAAGAATATTTTACCAATAAAAATGATAATCAATTAACATTAACGAAATTATTTGCACTTTTAAGAACATGGAATAAAAGTGTACATGATAATTTTGCTAAACTTATTCTTTTAGTAAGTAGAAGGAAAAAAACAACGGAATTTTTTTTTATTAAATAGAGAAAATTTATTTAGATATTAGAAAAAGAGATTAATATTAATGAGTATGATGTAGTAACAGGAATGAATTTACTTCATTTCACATGTAAATTTGGTGCAAAACAAATTGGACATGAACAAGATGCAATACAAATCATGAATATACTTATTGATAAAGGTATTAATCTCTCTGCTTCATGTTTATGGATGCAAATGAATTGTCTTCATTATTGTGCTTTCTTTGATTCTTCCTCAATCTGCGAGCTTCTATTAAAACAATCGAAAGTTTTATCTCGTATGAATTTCTAATCGTTTTATTTTCCATAATAAGTTCTTGTTTTGTCTTTAGTATTAAATCAACCCTGTTTTTCCTTTAAAAATAGCAGTCCATTGCATTTGGCATGTGCAACTTTATCTTTATCAACAGCTGAAATTTTATTAAAAGCGGGAGCTAATAAAAATATACTTGATGATCAACAAAGAACACCTTCTGGTTTGATTTTATTTATTTTTTTTATTTAAAGTTAATCTTATTGAATTAGATTGCATTCCAACAATGAATAATGATGAACAACAACAACAAATTGCAGAGACATTACGAGCTCTTCTTCCAGATCAAGAATCTGAAGAACAACAACAATCACTTTTACTCGATTCAACAATAAGTAGTAAGAAATAATATATTTCATGAGAAAAATATTATATTCAACTATCTTTAGATTCAGAACATCAACCAACAACAACAATGCAATTTCAACAAGGTGAACGTATTCGACTTACAAATAATAAAGTAAAATGATTGTTTTTTCTCTATTAATTATTTAAATATTTAAAACAATAGATTGGAACAGTAAGATATTTTGGTAGTGTACCATTTGGTGTTAATCTTTGGTATGGAATAGAACTTGATGAACCGTATGGTAAACATGATGGATGTGTAGGTGGAATACGTTATTTTACATGTGCAGAAAATAAAGGCATTTTTGTACAACCATCATTCTTACAAAAATTAACACCAGTACCTCATTCACCTGAACGTGAACGTAGATTTCGTCCAATAAATTTTCCACTGCCGGATACGAGTGCTATTTCAAGTCGCATTGATTCTGGTATGAATAGATAATTTATTGATAACTAATTTTTATGTTTTTTCTTTAAATAAAGGTTTAAGACGAGATAGTTCAGCTGATGGTCGAGGCATAGAACCATATCAAGTCACTGATCGTGTATCTCTTTCAAAAAATCGAAGCGGAACTGTGAAATATGTTGGACCAACACTATTAGGATCAGGTATAATACTAAATAAAACCGCTATATAATTATTTATTTTAATAATTTAAGGAATTTGGTATGGTATTGAATTAGATTCATCCGATGGTTTACATGATGGATGTTTAAATGCAGATGGACCAAGATATTTCCAATGTAAACCACAACATGGTATATTTGTACGAGGTTTCAATTTAAAAAAGTATATTCGAAATTATTTTATTTAATACACAAAAATCTAATTTAATTCCTATAGATTAAATACGAGTGATCAACAATCACAATCAATGATGGATTCATTTGATCATGTGTCTAAACGAAATTCAAGAATGGTAGTTTCAGACTATGATCCAAGGAGTAAGTTTTTCTTATTTTTGTGAAACATGATAAGCACTATAACAGCTTTTGATATTGAGACGAATCCGTTGTTTATTATTTCTAGTGATGTCATCTAGTATTATTGACAATGATTCATTCAGTAAATCAACAAATTCTGGGTAAATTAATTTCTATTTATTGAAAAAGAAAATATACATATATTCATTTTCAGTATTCAAAGTATGACATTCCAAGTTGGCGATAAAGTCTATTGTCATAATCATGCAGGTAACTATTTCATATGAATAATAAAAACGACTATATTTTCTTTTTAGCTATTGTACGTTTTATTGGTACAACATTATTTTCCGATGGTATTTGGATTGGTATAGAATTTTTATCGGGAGCACTTGGTAAAAATGATGGATCTGTTAATGGACATGTATATTTTCAATGTAAACAAAATTATGGCTTATTTATTCGTCCAAATCGATTAACATTAACAAAAAAATAACAAAAATCAACCATAATTACTTCTCATATTTTTCTCAGGAAATAAATAACTGTGATTTTGTTCTTCCTTTTTGTGTTTTTATTAGTTTTTATTTTTTTCAACTGTGATAAAATTTCTAGTTAGATTTTAGTTTTCAACAAATAGTTCAATAGTTTCTTTTTGTAGAAGAAATAAAAGAAAACCCATGGCTAAAACACCAACAAGAAATATCTCAGCAACATTAAATGATCAAACCATTGATAATGATGATCGATGTAAGAATTCATTTTTTCTTCTTTTTTTAATATTAATTTCAAATTAATTTCAAGTTGATGATTATGCATCTGAAAATCCATTGGATTTTACAGCTGGTAGTATTCGTCCAAATGAACATGCATTTTTTTCTGATGTAACAACAATGAAAGAATTAGAAACTGATCTTACAGATTTATTACAACGATTTCGCGAAGGAACATTACTTGCATTTAGTAAATAAAGTCTTTCTTTCTTTTTTTTATTTATAAGTATTTAAATTTCAATAGGTCCACAATTTACGTGCAATAAAATGGACACAATACGAGAAACTCAAGAACAATTAGCACGATTACATTTTTCATTGGATAAAGATTTATCAACAATAAATATTGAATCGGATGAATGTCAAAAGAAAGCCAATGAAAATATGTCATGTCTTATGCAAAAGGTAGATAAAATATTTTTTTATAAAACAAATAATTTTCTTCTTTTTCTATTTTTTAGTTACAAAAATTAACTGAAGAAATGTAAGTTATTACAAATGATATAAATAAAACTTGTTTTCTTTTTTATTTTCTAGCGAAAAATTACCGCAATTACCACCAGATCATCCAAATAGCAATGGAACTGAATAATAAATTTTTTTTTCTGTCTCTTCTGTTAAATAAAATTTCTAATACAATAATCATTTCATCATCATGAATAACATTTTTTTCATCAGCCTTGTAGAAATATTGCACAATCACATTGCAACTTTGCATATATAAAGAACAAGAAAAAATTTGAATAAAATACATTAAATAGTATATTTTATCAACATGATTTCATATCCTGAAACGGAACAATTTCGCCAAGCGATCAATAAAATCACACGAAATACGCGTCGACGTGAAGAAGATCGAGATAAAGTATTACCTGTTTTGAAATTTATTGGTACTGTTAAATTACATGGATCGAATGCAGCGATTGGTTATCATAAAGATTCAGGACATTGGCTTCAATCACGAAATAATGTTCTTACACCGCAAAAAGATAATGCAGGTTTTGCAACATATATGGAACCATTAGCAGATCAACTTTTTAATGATTATGTTCTTCCTGCAAGTGCAACTATTCGAGAAAAATATGAACAAGGACAGAAAATTATTATTTATGGTGAATGGTGTGGTGGAAATATTCAAAAAAATGTTGCTATTGTTGGCCTACCAAAAATGTTTGTTATTTTTAAAATAAAAATTCGCGATGAAACAATAGTAGTAACAGAAAAAGAAGGTGAAGATGAGACTGAAAATGAAGAACTTTTAAAAAATTCAATTTGGCTTGATCCAAAAGAATGGACAAGTATAAAATGGCATGATAAATTAATATATAATATATTTGATTTTCCAATTTATGAAATTGAGATTGATTTTGAATCTCCAAAATTATCACAAAATAAACTTATTGAAATAACTCAAGAAGTTGAACGTCAATGTCCTGTTGGAAAATATTTCAATCAAACAGGTATTGGTGAAGGTATTGTCTGGACAGAATGGGCTCAGACTCATGGAAGTTTAACATTTAAAGTTAAAGGTGAAGAACATTCTGTAAGTAAAGTTAAAACATTAGCACCTGTCGATACAGAGAAATTAGAATCGATCAAAGAATTTATTGAATATGCATGTACAGAAAATCGAATGTGTCAAGGTCTTGATTATTTACGTGAACAGCAATTAACAATTGAAATGAAAAATGTGGGAACATTTATAAAATGGCTTGTAAATGATATTATTAAAGAAGAAAAAGATACAATGAATGCATCGAATATTGACGAAAAAGATGTTTCACGTGCAGTACCAAATAAAGCGAAACCATGGTTTCAACAACAATTAATTTAATATATAATAAACTTTTTGATTCATATTATTTCAAAGTAATTTTATTTTTATAGTTATAATAAACATATTCCGAAAATTTTATTCAGAATTTTATCTATCGGAAGTAATGTGTTTATAGTGTAAAAAACGGAAGAATATGACATGTGAAAATATCTTTTACTAATCGAGACGTTATACAACGCGTTTTTCGACATTTATTCCTACAGAATTTTTTTCGATTGTAAAATCATAATCACTCATGTGAAAGCTTGTAAATTTTTAATAATTCAGACTTTGTTAATCTGCAATATAGTAATAATGAATCATGGTTGAAACTATTCATATTTTTATTGTTGAGAAACTTCGACAAGCTATTGATGGAGGATGTTATCCTTTTGTTCAAAAATGATTATTTTTCTCTCAATATATGTTCTATTACAAACAATAAGCAACGGGGT